AATGAAAAGTGAAAAACATTTTCGATTAGCCGGGTGCTGGTGGCTCATGCTTGTAATCCTAGCTACTTAGGAGGCTGAGATTTGAGGATGAAGTTCAATGCCAGCCAGGGCAGGAAAGTCTGTGAGACTCTATCTTCAATAAACCACTCACAAAACTGGAAGTGGACAGGCTGGGAAGTAGAGCGCTTGCCTTGCATGCATGAGGCCCTGGGTTTGATTCCTCAGCACCACATAAGCAGAAATAAAAAAAGCTGGAAGTGTTGCTGTGGCTCAAGTGGTAGAACACTAGCCTTGAGCTGAAGAGCTGAGGGACAGCGCCCAGGCCCAGAGTTCAGGCCCCATGACCGGACCCCCCTGCCCTCCCCCCAAAAAAACGAAAGTGGTGCTGTGGCTCAAGTGGTAGAGTGCTAGCCTTGAGCTCAAGAGCTGAGGGACAGCACCCAGGCCCAGAGTAAGTCCCATGACTGACAAAAAATAAAATAAAAAATTCTCAATTAGCAAACTGTTCTCTTTTCTTTAAATACTGAAACTTTTAAAGCTTCTCTAAATTATACATTAAATAATGTATTATCATAAAAGTTTAATATCCTTCCACTTTTCCATATAGAATTATATACATATGTCCTTACACATATACACACACAAAACAATAGACTATTATATATAACATACATACATATAAATTATATACACATGTGTGCACGTATTATGAGTATAAATGTATATTTATTATATGTGCATGTATATATCTATATACATGTGTATATAATATGTATTGATTATCTATATGCTTGTACATTCAGATATTTTATAAAGTAGGACCCACCCAGATAAAGAACTCAAACAACACAAAGAACAAGAAAGAAGCAAGCAACAGTTCTGGGAGAAAATTACTAGATAAAATGAAGGCGGAACATGGGCACATTCACATACCAAAATCAGGGCAAAATTATGTCTCCACCAGTAGGGCCTATTGATAAACTGCATTTTCTCAATAAATCCATGGTAGTTTTTTTTTTTTTTTTTTTTTTGGGTCTGGTCGTGGGGCCTGAACTCTGGGCCTGGGTGCTGTCCCTCAGCTCTTCAGCTCAAGGCTAGCGCTCTGCCACTTGAGCCACAGCGCCACTTCTGGCTTTTTTCTTTTTGCTTATGTGGTGCTGAGGAATCGAACCCAGGGCCTCAAGCATGCAAGGCAAGCACTCTACCATTGAGCCACCTTCCCAGCCCCCATGGTAGTTTTTTGATCTACCATGATATTCCAGAACCTTGACACTATTTATCAAAGGAAAGCCTACTTACCTTTTCTGGACTCTGAGTGACTTTAATAACCTTACCAAGCAGAATTTGGTAACAATAGAATAACATTATATGACTCTAGAGCCAGATCAGAAAAAGCAGTATTATCTCCCTCTTTTCTAAGAATGTTCCCTCTTAGAAATTAGTCATTGGCCAGGCGCTGGTGGCTCACGCCTGTAATCCTAGCTACTCAGGAGGCTGAGATCTGAGGATCGCGGTTCAAAGCCAGCCCGGGCAGGAGAGACCGTGAGACTCCTATCTCCAATAAACCACCAGAAAACCGGAAGTGGCGCTGTAGCTCAAGTGGTAGAGCGCTCGCCTTGAGCTGAAGAGCTGAGGGACAGCGCCCAGGCCCAGAGTTCAAGCCCCCCAACCGACAAAAAAAAAAAAAAAAAAAAAAAGAAATTAGTCATTGTACTATGAAGAAGTTCAGGGTACACAGAAAGATCTGTGAGGTTTCAGGTAATGCCCACATGACTGAACATGCTTTCAAGTAATTATAACCTCCAGCCTTTGAAGTCTTCCAGTTAAGCTCTGACATAGAAAAGAGCAGATACAAGATGTTTCTGTGTAAATCCTTCAATAACAGAGTCCCTGAGCATAGCAAATGGTTACTTTATGTCATGAAGTTTTGGGGTGATTTCTTATACAGTGATAATAGTACCTGGAGCAGGTGGTATTCCTCAACCTTTCCACGTCACACAGGTTAAATAAGAACACCAAAGTAAAGCCAATTTTGAAAAATGTAATCATATCTATTAGGACTAGCTGTTAAGTGTATATGCCTATATAAAACATATGTAACTTAAATAAATATACTATTGTCAACTAAAGTATAAGAGAAAAATTACATGAGATAGAAAACATAACAATTCCTTTTAAAATATTTTGAGATACAGAAGTGTAATAAAAACTAAATGTGAACTAATACCTAACATAGGAATTAAGTTTATAACCCCTCCCAAAGATTTCTAATGAGTTAAACAGGGAGGAAAAAAAAGGTTAATTTTTTAAAATCAACCATCTGATACAAGTTTCTTTTCTTTCTTTTCTTCTTTTTTTTGTTTTTCTTTTTGTGCTATTCCTAGGAGTTGAACTTAGGGCCTAGGCAATGTCCCAGAGGGTGTTTTTTTTTTTTTTTTTTTTTTGCTAAAGAGCTAGCTAGTACTCTACCACTTGAGCCACAGCTTCAATGCCAACTTTTTTTTTTGGGGGGGTGTTGGGTGGGCAGTGGCTTAATTGGAGATATGAAGTCTCATATACTGTCCTGCCTGGGGTGGCTCTGAATGGCAATCCTCAGACCTCAGCCTCCTAAGTAGCTCGGATTATGAGCATGAGCTACTGGTGCCTGGCTTATGAGTTTCTATTAGCCAGAAATTTTTTTTTTTTGGGTCCGGTCATGGGGCCTGAACTCTGGGCCTGGGCGCTGTCCCTCAGCTCTTCAGCTCAAGGCTAGTGCTCTACCACTTGAGCCATAGCGCCACTTCCGGCTTTTTTTCTTTTTGCTTATGTGGTGCTGAGGAATCGAACCCAGGGCCTCATGCATGCAAGGCAAGCACTCTACCACTGAGCCACCTTCCCAGCCCTTAGTCAGAAATTTTTATGAAGCAGAATTCCCTTCATTTCATGTCTATTTATAAATAATGAAATACTAAATTGAAAGACTTATTATTATTATTATTATTATTTTGCCAGTCCTAGGGCTTGAACTTAGTTTCTGGGTGCTGTCCCCAAGCTTCTTTTGCTCAAGGCTAGCTCTCTACCACTTGAACCATGGCTCTACTTCTGGCGTTTTCATAATTTATTGGAGATCTAGTCTCACAGACTTTCCTGCCCAGGCTGAATTTGAAACCATGATCCTCAGAACTCAAGTTCCTGAGTAACTAGTATTATAGGCGTGGACTAGCAGCACCTGTCCAAAAGTTTAACATTTTAGGAAAGCATGATGAACTGTTAGAAAATCTCCTTAGAGTTACTCTTATGAATGCAAATTTTATTATGCTGAAGCCTTTTTCAAAATGAAACGGTTTGGAATTTGAAAGTAACAATGACCATGCTATACAGAAATATATACAGGGCTGGGAAGGTGGCTCAGTGGTAGAGCGCTTGCCTTGCATGCCTGAGGCCCTGGGTTCGATTCCTCAGCACCACATAAGCAAAAAGAAAAAAGCCGGAAGTGGCACTATGGCTCAAGTGGTAGAGAGGTAGCCTTGAGCTGAAGAGCTGAGGGACAGCACCCAGGCCCAGAGTTCAGGCCTCATGACTGGACTCAAAAAAAAATAAATATATACAAAAGTCTAAACTTAACAAACTAATAAATAATTATTATTTTACTTAAAATTTTCAAAGTAGAGAAATACTCATGAATATATATAGCAGGGAAGTGATGATAATAATATAGTTGAGGCTTATAATTTAGGAGTTTGAGTTTTAATATGGACATATTAGATACCAGTATTTTCCTAATAAATTTGGGGATAATGTGCTAATGCGATCTGCGAAGAGAATTTTATAATGATACTGTGTTAATTTAGAAAATTCTTAAGATGCTTAAGTACTTATGGGTCCTGCTATTTGCAAGTCTGCTACTTGCTTTCAGAAAAGAAAATAAAGTATATATATGAAATGTTAACATCAGATCAATCTAGAAAAAGAGGAGATAAATATTCATTATATTAGATTATTTCACTCTTTCTTTACTTTTTTTTTTTTTTTTTATGGTCATGGGTCTTGAACTCTGGGCCTGGGTATTGTCCCTGTGCTCTTCAGCTCCAGGCTAGCACTCTACCACTTGAGCCACAATACCACTTCTGGTTTTCTGGTGGTTAATTGGAGTTAAGAGTCTCATGGACATTCCTGCTTCCGCTGGCTTTGACCCGAGATTCTCAGCCTCCTGCGTAGCTAAGATTATAGGTGTAAGGTACTGGTGCCCAACTCTTTCACTCTTTCTACAGGTTTAAAATTATAAAATAAAAAGAGGGTATACATCCTTATGTATTTATCAAGACATTTACAAGAATGTTCACAAAGCTATTATTCATAGCTGCCCATTGTGTTAACAATCCAAATATATATCAACAGTAAATTGAAAAAGCAAACTGGTAAGCAAGTGGAAAAACTGGTATGTTTATATGAAAGGGCAATGTACTGCAATCAAAATGACCATTACTATTAACAAATCACATATGTGAAACTCAGAAGTAACAAGGAGCAAACGGAGCTAGACACAAACAGGATGAACAAACATTTGTTGAATAAATATTTCAGATACTACTAAAATAAGAGCTGTCATCTTTGTTTAGAAAAAGTTTTGCTGACTGATGTACAAGATTACAATAGAAAAGTATAAATTACTTAAGGGAACAAATTCCTTTCAGGCACGCTCCTCTAGTGCACTTATAAAAACCACCCACAGACTACTGATCTGTTGCACTAATCCACAAATTTTGCTTTTTGCTGGTTATTTTGGAGAGTATCAAAGCTTTTCTCTACAGGCTGATTTCAAAACATGGTACTCTAGATCTCAGCCTCCTTGAGAGGATTAACAGGCATGTGCTACCAGAGCCCAGCTAAAAACATTTTCTTAATTAAATAAGACTTTTCAAAATGTATTACAACTTAATGTTTTTGCTTTTAAAATAAATCTAGATTAATATCCAGAGGTGATTAGGAGGAACAGAAACAGAAGAGGAGAAGATACTTACATTAACTCTGAAAGCTTGTACAGTATTATCCAGAAGAAGGATGTTGCAAACAACCTCTGTATGCTGTCTGTCTCGGGCCAACTCTGATGCTCGTACATTGTAGGTTCTGCCAGCAGGCAATCGGAAACGTGAGGTCATTACTGTCCACACAAGATCTAAGTTTTTTTGAAAAAAGGACACTTCACTAAATAAATGAATAGTGGAATATATAGTATAGTTTAAAAGTTGTTACATACTAAATTAAAATTTATGAAGAAAATAGTTATAAATGTGGAAACACAGGATAAGAATTATAAGCATAAAATAAGTATATACAGTTCATCACCAAAACTATAACAACAAACAGCCCTGAGGTTTATTTTTAACTGATTCATTAAATAGAACAAATACACAAAATTTTCAGGAAGTCCTATTCCAATTCAAAATTACATAAAGTTAAGAGTTTAAAAGTGAGGGAATATACCACCTCAGGAAGTTGGATATTACTCACTGATCTAAGTATCTAAAAACACTGCATAATGTCAACAGGAGGGAAGATTACTTAACTTCAGCCAGCCCTTCCTTTCTTTAAAACATTTTGGGGATACATGGAGGAAATACGTCATCTTCCTAATGTTAGCCTCCCACAAAACTTATATACCACTACTACATCCAGCTATGGAGTCAGAAGGGGTCTCTGAAACTTTTCTGTACAGGCTGTCTTTGAATGGTGATTCTCCCATTTTCAGAAGTTAGACTACAAGTGTGAGGCATCAGTGTTTATCTTATCGCTTACTCTTACTAATCTTGAGAAATAAAACAAAATAACTAGAAACCTTAAGGTTACTAATCTTTTCTTTAGAATTTTTAACCTAAGAAGGGAAAAATCAGATTGCCTTTCAAGAACAGAAATCATTCTGGTATCAGTATTATCTATTAAAAGACAATAAAGCTGCAGGATGCTGGTGGCTCATGCCTATAATTCTAACTACTCAGGTGGCTAAGAGCCAGTCTAGGCAGGAAAGTCAATAAGACTCTTATCTCCAATTAATTATCTCCACAAAACCACAACTGGAGCTGTGGGGGGAGGGGGGCACTAAAGCAAAAAAGTTCAGGAACAGTGCCCAGGTGCATGTGTGCATGTGCACATTCACACACACAACATGAAACTGCAGGGAATCTGCAACCTGCAACCTAGCTTCTCAGGAGGTTGAAATCTGAGGATCGTGGTTTAAAGGCAGCTTCACCAGGAAAGTCCTTGAGATTTATCTCCAAATAACCACCAAAAAAAGCCACAAGTAGATACGTGGTTCAACTGAGAGGATACTAGTCTTGAGCAAAAATGTTCAGTGACAGTGCCCAGGCCCTGAGTTCAAGCCCTAGAATACACATATGCACATACATATGTACATGCATATATACACTTACACACAGATGGGGAAAAAAAGACAATGAAGCTGAGCCAAAGCCAGCAGTTCACATCTGTAACTCTAGCTACATGGGAAGTAGAGATCAGGAGGATCACAGTAGGTAGGTGCAATGGCATGTCCCTGTCTCTCAACTACATGAGAGGCTGAGAGTTGAAGGATTGAGATTCCAGAACAGACAGGATCAAAAAGTAAAAAAAAGGTCACTGGACTACCTCAACAGAGATTGTTGGCCTAGTGACATTTGCTCATAATCTCATGCCTACAATCCTAGTCATGTAAGAACTAAAATTGTAAGAGTAAAAATAATATAGGTAATTGTCAAAATGAACACTAAACTCTGGAAATTAACAAAAGACTACAACACTGAAGAACTTTTAAAAATTCAAGGTAAACAGCTGAATCTCATTCAGTAAGGACAATGAGGTTTGTGGCCCTTTAATGTGACCTATCCCTTACTCCCAAGTATGTGATGGCTTTGGAGATCAACAAACTAGAAATTATGATGGCTACAGAAAGCCTATGATGCTCTCTGCAAAGACCCAAGTCTGGAGGACTATCATTATTTTTACTATTTTAACAGCTACCTAGAAACTCCTACTTGAACAACATTCCTACTTTACCTGACACAGAACATGTTTAAGTGAAAATAACCTTTTATCAAAAGAATATCAATAGGGCTGGGAAGATGGCTCAGTGGTAGAGCGCTTGCCTTGCATGCATGAGGCCCTGGGTTCGATTCCTCAGCACCACATAAGCAGAAAAAGCTGGAAGCGGCACTATGGCCCAAGTGGTAGAGAGCTAGCCTTGAGCTGAAGAGCTGAGAGACAACGCCCAGGCCCAGAGTTCAGGCCTCGTGAACGCAAAAAAAAAAAAAAAAAAAAAAAGAATATCAATAGTAATTATTCAATATTACAGCAGCCAGAACAATAATAGTTGGAATAAAAAAGACGATCACTACAATAAGATGTCCATAAAGGACTTTTAAAAGTTCCAACAAAGGCTGGGAAAGTGGCTCAGTGGTAGAGTGCTTGCCTTGCATGCATGAGACCCTTGCTTCAATTCTTCAGCACCACATAAGCAGAAAAAGCTGGAAGTAGCACTGTGGCTCAAGTGGTAGAGTGCTAGCCTTGAGCTGAAAAGCTGAGGGACAGTGCCTAGGCCCAGAGTTCAGGCCCCACAACCGACAAAAAATAAAAAATAAAAAAATTCCAACATATTGTTGAGCACTGGGGACTCACGCCTATAATCCTACTTTACTGCTAGCCTGGGCAGAAAAGTGATAAATGAGACTCTTATCTCCAATTACCTACCAAAAAGCCAAAAGTGGAGCTGTAGCTCAAATGGTAGCACACTAGACTTGAGCAACAAAGCTCTGGGAGAGTACCCAAGGCCCTGAATTCAAGCTCCAGGACTGGCACAGGGGCACGCACTGCCCCCTCCCCCCCAGTTCCAATATATTCCTGTGAATTCAGAAGGGGACACACACACACACACACACACACACACACACACACACACACAAAATTTCAACATATTCCTAGGAATTCACAAGGCCATCAGCAAGTAAGTCCCCAGGGAAAAGCTGAAAAGATCCCCATCTCTTACCTACCACTGAACATTGAGTCATTCCTGCAAAGTCAGGAAATGAAATCAGTTCTATAAAATAAATAAACACTAACACCACCTGTAAGAAATACTAGAAAACATACTCCTTTAAAGTATTATTTAAGGAAGCATCTGTTCAATCATTAGTTGAGAACTAAGTTAACTGAACAAAGATAATGGGGGTCTACACATGGCATACAATACCAACTTTATAAAATTATTTCAGGAAGGTCTCTAGATAGTGGCAACAAAAACAGTGACAATAAAAGAACCAGCAAAGCAGGAACACAAAGGGGAATAAAAAGGATTGAAAAGAAACTGCCCTAAGGATACCCACATTGAACACCCTAAATGAAGACTCAAAATCAGGTACTATGAATATGTTCAAAAACAAAGCATGAGAACAGTATCACATCAAACTTAACATAAATAAGGATATATTTTTTAATCAGTTCAGAATACTGTAGCTGAACACAAACATTTTAAATGAAAACTCAATGAATGGGCTCAACAGCAAAGCAGACAGCACCACAGCTAGTCTCAGAAACAAGAAAAAAAAAAAAGGCTTAAGAGACACTATCAAATATACCATAATAGCAAAGCCAGAAAGACAATATACAGAAAAGGATGACAGAATACTTGAAGAAACTCATATTTGGTTTAGAAAAATTAATCTACATGTGGAAAAAGCTAAATGATCTCAAACTGGGATAAAATCTAAAAGATTTACTTATAGATGTATCTTCGTCAAAATGCTGAAAACCAAGAAAACAAACTCTTGGGCCAGAGAAAAATGACTCATCACTTACAACTAAACATCAGTAACAGTAAGAGGCAATATCTAATCAGGAAGCATGGAGGCCAGAAGGCAGTGAGATAATCAGAGAAATGCTAATCAAACCTCAGAAACTTCAACTCACTCGTCAAAATGGCTATCATCAAGAAAACAAAAACACTGCTGAAGAAAGAGTGGGGGGAAGGAATCCTTATACACTGTGGGGTGAAATTTAAATTAGTGCCGTCCTGTGCAAATCAGCATGGAGATTCCTCAAAAAATTAAAAAAATAAACTTACCATATAATTTTAACTGTGTCATTTCTGGAGATACATATATATGCATATATATATATGTGCATACATATGTATGTATATATATATATGTATGCAATATATATGCAAAAGAAAGTCAGCTTAATATACATATATCCGAACACTCATGTTTATTGAAGCAATACTCACAATAGCTGTTATGGAAGAATGGTTAAGAAGACTGAAATACACAAACAGAATTTTTTTTCAGCCAAAGAATGAAATTATGTCTACAAGAAAACGGATGGAACTGGAGATCATATATTAAGCAAAATGAACTAACCTCAGAGATAAATATCACATTTTCTCTTGTATGTGAAGGGAGGAAAGGACATAAAAGTAAAAGGGGGGCAATTAGAGATATGAATGGAGAGGAGAGACACAAAAGTAATGGAGAAATGAATATGACCAAAGTACATTATATGCATGCAAAGAAATGTCATAATAAACCCATTACTTTATACAACCAATATATGTTAGTAAGATAGAGAAAATAGGAAGTGGTGCTGTGGCTCAAGTGGTAGAGCGCTCGCCTTGAGCTGAAGAGTGCAGGTGCAGTGCCCAGGCCCAGAGTTCAAGCCCCACGACCGTCAAAAAAAAAAAAAAAAGATTGAAAGATAGAGAAAATAATTAAAGCAATTTGATGGCTTATTGAAAGTAAAAAAAAAAAAAAAAGACTATCAAAGAGAACTGAGAATGGAGAAAAAAAATGTTAAAAAAAAAATAAGGGGTTGGGGGGCAGGGTATGGCTCAGTGGTAGAGCATTTGCCTCACATGCCCAAGGCCTTGGGTTCAACTCTGCAAAAACCATTAAATTTAAAATATTCCCTGAAATAATAACAAAAGTTTCCCATAGCACGTCTGCTCTAGGAACAAAAATACTAAAAGCTAAGATTAAAGTACTTACTCAAATCCACAGAAAGAAAAAGAGAATCTGTAAGAGTATTTATATGACTAAATATAGACAGCAATACTGTTTTGAGTTTGTCACTTTCTTTTTTCTTTTTCTTTTGTGTGTGTGTGGGAGAAGGAGGGAGGGCCTGCTAAGCACA